GTCGTCCGCCACTATTGTTGTTCTTTATCGTCGTTCTGTTATGTTATGATTGTTAAATTGTAATTTCTATATGTCGAAACCATGTGTGTCGAAGGGTTAGAGGTTGTCGAAGCAGGTTGCTCGATGGAAACCATTGTCCAGTCGAAAAACTTGTGGATTGAAACAGACTACACACAGATTTAATTTGGTTTTAGATTTAGATATAAAATAGATAGATTTGATTTAGCTTCAAAATAGGTATTTTGGGATTTAATAGTTTTGAGTTTTGACTTAAGGAGAAAGCTAACCTAATCTATAAATAGAGGGAGTAACCCCTATTTTTGTAATCAAGTCAATTAAGTTGTATTCACAGAATTTACAGTTGCAAGTGAATAAAGTTTTCTACAGATTGTGGACAGAGAGAAACTCTACAGAAAATAATTATCTTCTCATTCTTTTTGTCTTTCATATAATTCATTGTTGTTGTGTGGTGATACTATCTTATTCATCAAGATTGATAAAAATTCATCATAGGTTTTGGTCAATTTCCAATATCTGGTATCAAGAGATCCGATTGAGAAATCAAGGGGAGAAGAAGAAGAAGAAGAAGAAGAAATTCACGATGACTATGAATCATCCAAACATGCATTTTCTAGAAAGTCTTCTAATTCTCAAAGCTGATAACCATGAGAATTGGTGAAAGCAGATGAATGTTGTATTTTGTTGACAAGATCTTTGGGATCTTGTGAAATATGGACTAGAACCGCTTGAAGAAGATGCCTCAGAAGAAGAAGAGAAGGAATACAAATAATCAGAGAAGAAAAATTATAAATCTCTCTTTATAATTCATCAATGTCCGAGTCTAGATAATTTTGAAAAGGTTAGTGATGTAGAATCTGCAAAAGAAGCCTGGGAGATTCTTAAGAAATCTTTTGGAGGTGCAGAAAAGGTAAAAGAGGTGAGGTTACAAACTCACAAAAGAACATATGAATTGCTTCAGATGAAAGATAGCGAGAGCATGTCTAATTTCTTCACTAGGGTTAGAATACTAGTGAATCAAATCAAGGTTTGTGGAGATACGTTAACAACAAGAGTTGTTGCTTCAAAGATGTTGAGATCTTTGGCTATGAAGTTCAACCATGTGATAGTTTCCGTAGAATAGTCGAAGGACATGTCAACTTTTTCAAAGGAAGAGCTTCAAGAGACGCTTGAATCTCATGAACAAAGAATGGCTAAAAGAGCTTCAAGCAAGTCAAATAGTGATTTGGCTTTGCAGGCACATTCAACAAAAGAAAGTAAAGGCAAAGGAAAGTGGTTCGACAAAGGTAGAGGTGGATGAAACAATTCGACTGGTAGAGGAAACCAGCAGGAATAAATTGTGTCGAATCAGAGAAGACCTCCACACGAAGGCAACCAAAAAGGCGGTGCAGGGGGTAGAGAAAGAGTTGGTGGTCGAAAACCTGACAAGTGTCACATTCAGTCTTACAATTGTCAGAAGTATGGTTACTATTATAGTGATTGTCCAGAAAAGCGAAAGAATCAAGAAAGTGATGCAAAGTTCACGAAGTATGAAGAAGAAAATATGATGTTGATGGTCACAACAAGAGATGAAGAGAAATTTAAGGAACAATGGTACTTGGATTCAGGTTGGTGATTACACATGTCTGGAAAGAAAGATTAGTTTGTCAACATAAAGCCCTCGATGAAGAACATGGTGAAATTTACAAATGAAAATACTCTAGCAGTTGAAGGTATTGGTGATGTTCTGATTATAAGGAAAGATGGAAAGAGGTCAGTAATTTCTAATGTGTGGTACATATCAGGCATGAAGAGCAACTTGCTCAACATAGGGCAGTTAATCGAAAAGAATTACAAAGTGTCGATCAAAGACAAAATGATGAGAGTCATCGATGCAAGAGGAAGGTTAATCTTGAAGGCTCACATGTCCTAGAACAGAACATTCAAGATAGAACTAAATGTGATAGAGCACAAATTCCTATCAAATATAGCTAGCAGAGATGATTGGATATGGCTTTATCGACTTGGCCATCTCAACTTCTGAGACATTAGAGATTTGAAGATAAGAAATATGATTTCAGGATTACTAGAAATCGACATTTCAAATGAGGTGTGTGAGGAATGTATGCAGGCGAAGCAGCACAAGAATAGCTTCAGCAAGGATGCAGGAACTAAGTCGAAGGCAATCCTCTAAGTCATATACTCTGATATATGTCGACTAATCCATGTGAATTTGATGAGAGGTAAAAAATATTTTGTTTCATTCATAGATGATTTCAATCGAAAACTATGGACTTACCTGATCAAGAATAAAAGTGAAGTGATCGACGTATTTGCCAAGTTTAAATCTATGGTCGAAAGACAAAGTGGTCGAAAGCTCAAAGTTGTGAGAACTGATGGTGGTGGAGAATATGTGTCGAAAGACTTCGACTTATTATGTGAGAAAGAAGAGTTTGTGCATGAGGTGGTGCCACCATACACTCGACATAAGAATGAAACTGCAGAAAGGAAGAATCGAATCATCATGAATATATATATATATATATATATATATATATATATATATATATATATATATATATATATATATATATATATATATATATATATATATATATATATATATATATATATATATATATATATATATATATATATATATATATATATATATATTCAGCTGTTATAATTTGATAGGTTTATAATCTAAACTTATAGTCAAAACAACTATTATTTTAAAAAAGACTATGGCAAAATTTTGATAGGTTTATAATCCAAACTTATAATCCAAACAACTATTGTTTTAAAAAAAGTTATGACAAATAAAACAAGTGATAGAAAGTGTACTAAAACTTAATAGATACGTCCCCTATACTTATGAGAACACTTAATAGATATGTCCCCTATACCGAAGCCACGAGCGTACTAAAACCTTAGAGATAACAAGTTGGATGGAGGTAGACACAACTATCTACACAAACAAAATGAGAGCATCTTACCATTGTAAACCCCTATTTAACTAACAACTTGAGCTGGTCCGAGTCCTAGTCTAACAGAGAAACGACCAAACCAAAAGCATAATCGTGAACCCGTATTCAATCCAGATTGCTAATCGCAGACATCTCATAATTTACCAACAAGTTTTCCCGATAAAAAATAATTTTGTTTCACATTTTCCAAATACTATAAATCGAGACCATGCCTAAAGATTCCTTCTTTTCCCGACCTAAACCATGAAACATCTCAAACACCTCTAAAGTCGGTTTGAGTATAGGCTTAAGTCGTCCCACCTACTTAAAAACTCTATTATAAATAGTTGATGCAACTTGACACAACACACAAAAAAAATTACAACTTTAAAATGTGCCCATCTCTTAGAAGTCAAAATTCTAAAATGTGAACCAATAAAAAAAGATACTAAAGAAAACATATTTGAATATTTAAATGATTAATAACATACACATTAAAGAATAAAAATTACTTAAACTTTTGAATTCTTAATAACAAATTTAGCTAAAACCTATGTAAGAGGGAAAAACAAGAGATAACAAAGAAAAATAAGGCGAAAAGAATTTCAGGCCAATCACCACCAGACCAATCTACATTGATGCCACGAGCGTATTAAACTTTCAGAGAGATCAAGTTGGATGGAAGTAGACACACCATCTACACAAATTAAAGGAGGGTATTAGGTCACCCAACGCAGTCTTAAATAGCTAATCACTTGAGTGGTCCTGCTCTTAGTCTAACATAGAAATGGTCAAGCCAAGAGCATAAGTATGAACATACTTTCAATCCAAACTGTTAATCCCAGACATCTAATGATTTATCGACAAAAATAGTTTTCTTTCGAATTTTCCAAATAGTATAAACCACAAAATTTCAGAATTAGACCAGGCCTAAAAATATCTTATTTCCATGACATACACCCTAAAACATCTCAAACACCACTAAGATCGGTTTCGTCTGAGGCCCAGACTTCCCCATATTGCACACACTTCATTAATTAGTAATATCACACACTATCTGACATCTCATGAGATTTAGCCTAGTCGACAACCTAATCTGAAACAACTACTAAAAGAGTACACTACAACTTTAGAAGGCATGCATATCTTTTTAGTTGAAACCCTGAAATATGAATCAGATAAACTAGAAAACTGCTTGTACCTACATGAATCGGACACATCTTCAAACCAAGTGGTCCGACCAGTAAGCTCACCTTATCAAACACAATTGACGACTCGATTTTTCCACACAAACTAAATTGAGAAGTACAAGGGGTGTGAATCATCTAAGTTTTATTTCTCTGTTTTTCTTTAACTTTCTCTCTATCTCTCGATTTACTTTCTCTCACTTTTTTCCCTTCAAAATATGACTATCTCTTTTATTTCATCCACATTTTTACATAAAATTACTCTAATTTTCTCTCCTAAAAGTTACTCTACTTTCTCTCCCAAATTTAAAGGATAAGTCTCTCCCAAATTTAAAGAATCCTTATCCCACATGGGATGAACAGCTGTCTCCATGATGCAGAACATTGCACCCGCGTCAGAACTAGCTGATAGACTAAAGACTGTTTACTCTATTTTTGTACGTATATATAAAAATATAAATATATGTGTAGATTATACTTGTAATGCAGCTCTCCACGAGATAACTAGTGTTGACTAGAAGTAATATTATTTCAAAGCTATCACTTTCCACTAATAGCGAGTAGACATAGCAATGAGTATGACATACTAGTACATAATAATAACCGAACTGCTTCAGTTCATGGCCTCCAATCTTTACTACTCTAAATCAATCAAGATCAACAAACAATCACTCAACATTTTCAAGATAAGATTCAATTGATGCAGATTAGCTCCTTCCCAACTACCAAGTAAATGTTCCGTATTGGTTCCTCCTTCCTTGCATTATATATAGACTACACTTTCTTACTATTTTTCTCATCCTTCACTACCAAATATCACATTTCAACTGATCTTGAATTGAGTACAATGGATTCCAAAAACGTTTTCCTTATCCTTGGTCTATTGGCCATGGTTCTTGTTATTTCCTCACAAGTGTCAGCTAGGGACTTAACCGAGACTTCAACTAATACAAAAGAGGGTGAGCTAGTTATTAATTATTTTTCTTAATTTAGTCTCCAAAATATAAGTACATATGTTATGTTATCATAATTTATTAAAGAGTAAGGGTCACCCATAATGTAAAATAAATTTAAGATTTAAATTCATATAATGTTGTATTTGCAGAAGTTGCTGAAAAGTCAAATGAAGTAAATGATGCCAAATATTACGGTGGAGGTTATGGTCATGGAGGCTATGGTGGAGGCTACGGCCATGGAGGCTATGGTGGAGGCTACGGTCATGGAGGCTATGGTGGAGGCTATGGTCATGGAGGCTATGGTCATGGAGGCTACGGTCATGGTGGAGGTTACGGTCATGGTGGAGGTTACGGTCATGGCGGTGGAGGTTACGGTCATGGCGGTGGTGGTGGATACAACGGTGGTGGTGTTTCCGAGAATGGTAACTGATTAGATCATCATGCATGGACATTCTAAGAGAAATAAGTATCATGAATAAATAATGTTGATTGAGTGTTAATGAAAAGAGGGACAGATAGACAAACATGCATCTTTTGTGGTTATCTATCTATTTTGCCATAAGATGTTTTAAAATTATGTTAATCGTGTATAAATTACATTATCACTATATATATATGTGGTAATGAGTTCGATTTCAAGCTAAAGTGATGAATGTGTAATTATGTCTAATATATCACACGGTTGTATTTGCAGAAGTGGTTGAGAAGTCAAATGAAGTAAATGATGCCAAATATGGACACTACGGAGGACACTACGGAGGACACTATGGCGGTGGTCACTATGGAGGTGGACACCATGGTGGTGGACATTATGGTGGTGGTGGTGGACATGGTGCTTCCGACAATGGCAACTAGATTATATCATCATACATGATGCACATTCAAAGCAATAAGTTTCATGAATGAATAATGTTTGGTGTTAAATAAAAGAGGTATAAGTCTGTTGTAATTATGTACCATCTTTGTATACGTGGAGTGAAAGTGATGAATGTGTTATCATTTGTAATATATATCAAATATCATCGTTGTTGATACTTTGCATCCTTTTAAAGTTATATTTCCATACTGATGATTTATCTAACTAAATTCCTTGATTAATGGACAGAACGAGCCATGTTCATAAACATAATTAAGAAAATGAACTACACACTTTAGAGTGCATCTTCTCTACCATGGACATAGCCTCGATTATAACACTTAAAATTAGTCCCACCTACAAGTCCTATATTTTAGCGTGGATCAAACAACAAAAAAGTTTTAAATAAACACTACACTATCTATTTGGTTCATTCCACCGGACTTATGCTTTTTAGGGGTTAGGTCACGCCATTAAAAATAAACTTATAAAATAAACTAGTTAATTTTAAGTAAAAAAGAATAAGTTAAGCTATGATTGTATTAATATGTTTTCAAGTAAAAAAAGTAATGAAAATAATGTTTTAAAAATAATGTGATCAAAGATATATGCCTGAAGAGAAAGTTTGATAAGAATTAAAGATAATATTAATTTATTTTATATTTTTATATAGATGAATATTTTAAATATTATTTAATTAAGTTTATGATTACTCTATTTATGTTATGTAGTTTTTGTTTATTATATTTTTTTAATAAAATTAAAATTTTAATATTAAAATATGAGTCAGTCCGACCTATCGAATTATATGGTCTATTCAAAATTGGATCGGATTTAATTTTAATAATTTATTAAGTAATCGGACTGACTCACTTATTTATACGTGTTGATTCACCTAACCGAAATAAATTGGACCGAACTCACCTATTTAACAACTCTAATCTCAATTGACAACACGTACATAACACAATTTCATAAACAAATTTAAAAAACAACCAAAGCTTAGACATAACATTCGATTAGAAGAAATCCAATCAAATATAAGGTTTGAATCTTAAAATTAAAATTAAAATTTTGTAATAACCTTTTAAATACCAACTTTAAAATACCAAAAAATCAGTTATGATTAGCTATATAAATTACGGATGGCCTGTTTAGTCCACATACTTAAAATTTGTGATTTTACTATATTCGATATCTCTATATTAAATATTAAATATTAAATATTTAATATTTAATATTTAATATATTAATGTTAATTATTTTATGTTTTATTTTACAACTTATATTTTTATTAGTATTTAAAAATGTATTAAATTATTTTAAAAAATAAATATTGTGCATAAGAAATATTATATCTAAATTAATTAATTTTATATATTATAAGTTGTTGACAAATTATTTTCCACAAGGAAACAAGTCATAAATAAGAAGGTATCTTCTAAATGGGAAGATTCATTAAAGACTTTAAAAGAGGTGTCAATAGGGTTTAGTCGACGAAGTTGTCACTTGGAGAAGAACGGCTCGACGGGCCTATAGAACAACATAACGAGGCTGTCGACAAGCATGCCAAATTGGCACCAAGAGAAGTTATGGTTTTGCACGCTAGCACGAACATGGGGGGAAGTTATGAAGCTTTTTCACATGAAATCCCAATGTGGGATACTGTAACCGTCGACGGTTACGCCTCTAGATTTTCTAGTTAAGCAAATAATTGTATTCGTTCTAGAGATCATATTTCTTCACATTTAGAGCATTACCCTTTAAGTACTTGCATCTAAGAGAGAAACGAGTTCAGACTTGACAATGTATGAATGTTTCCACATTTCAATTCAAAGCAATTTCCATATTTCACTTTAAATTACAAGTCTTATCATTTATTTTCTTTAATTTGAAATTGTCATTTACTTTTGCCTTTTTTATCCCATATCAACCAGTTTCCACCCAAAACACTCAAAACACTAAGTCTAGGATTATTGTAGCTAACCCTGCAAGTAACCTTTAATAAGAAGCTAGATATTATTTGTAAGAAACAAATTGGCACACCTAGTGGGACATGTTGTGTTTGAGTCTTTCCCGTTTTGTGCATGAAATTGAGAAGTGGTAGAAAAATGGTAGATCCTAGAACTCTTGAAAGGGATTAAACCCTGGGAGAAAATACCAGCGCAACAGTGAGTGTGGGTTCAAGTTATGTGGTTGTGTCTTCGACTGCACCGAACATAGTTACCACAACTCAACCAGTAACTGCAAGACCACCAGTGGTCACAACTTCTGGGCAGTATGTGCCTGGTTTTATAAGAGATACACATGGTGGTGTGATCCTAATTTCTGTGAAGTATGTGCCTAGTTTTGCAAGAGATACGCATAATATCGAACACAAATACATAATGCCAACGACGATGATGGCAGACCTACATAGCAGTAGTTCGACATTTGGTGAAAACTCTACATCAGCGTTTTCCTCGTATCATGCCTCAGGTCCATTGGAAAATCAATTAGGTATTCATATGGATTGGAATTTTCCCACCAAATCATGCATACTTTCACCCCAAGTACTGTTTCTATCAAGAGGCAACAAATGTATGAAAGTAATATGAGATGGTCAATATGCTTACTTAACAAACGAGTCTAATATTAAGACCTTTGGTCGAGAATTCGCTGTAGAGTTATCAGAATTTAGAAACTCAAATGACTCGTATCAGTGATTTCCTTGGTACCCCAAGAGCGCCACTTCGACAAGTTGTGCCTCCCCCATGTGAGGAACCAGTGCAGTACAAGGAGGTGGTCGATGAAACAATCGGACAAGAACCATTGATTCCCTAACTTGTCGATCGTATACTTAGGGTGCTCTAGCAACCTGCAGTAGTGATATCGAATTGAAACTAGAATGCCGACCAAATGGTCAGGCATGTTCGAAGAGAAGTAGTGGCTGGGGAACAAAACCTAGAAGCCATTATCGAATGAATTATGGTTAGGAATGAAATGAATACTGGCTTTCAGAGGACTATATATGTCTCACCATTTCTAGATTTCGTTTTACAAACGAAGTTACCTATAGGTTAGAAACTCCCAAAATTCACTAAGTTCGCATGGGATGTCGAAGAATCCACTGTCGAACATGTTTCCAGGTACCAAACAGAACTTGGAGACTTAGTAGTGAATAAAGATTTAAGGATGAAGTATTTTCCCAATTCCCTCACAAAGAATGTGTTTACTTGGTTTATAACGCTTCCCTCATAATCGTTCCAAACGTGGATTCAGTTGGAGAAATTATTCCATGAACAATTTCACATGAGGCAATCCAAAATAAGCCAAACAGAATTGTATAGTGTTAAACAAAAAAGCATTGAGTCGATCGACCAATACCTTAACAAGTTTAGACTTCTGAAAGCCCGATGCTTTACACAAGTCCCTGAACACGAGTTGGTCGAAATGGCTGCAAATGGATTGGAGTATTCTATTAGAAAGAAGTTGCTAGATACTTAGTCGTTGAAGGATATGGCGCAGTTGGCTATCAAATTTCGACTAATCGAACGTTTGAAAGTTGAAAAAACCAAGCCAAATAAGTACCACAAGAAAGGGAAGGTTGCTTACATAGCAACTGATGAAGAAGAGTCAGGGGAAGAAACAGAGGTTAATGTGGATGAACTCCATCTTAGACCTCCCTATGCGTGTAAATTATTAAAACCTTCAAATGGAAAAAACCTGTCGAGACTCAGAAGAAAGGAAAAGCCATCACCAAAACTTACACGTTTGAAATAACCAAGTGTGATGAAATATTTGATATATTAGTAAATAATGGTTAGATTGTGGTCCCTCATGGCCTAAAGAATCCACCACTTGAACAAAAGAAGAAGAGGATATTCTGCAAATTTCATAATTTTCTAGGTCATAATACATCTCAATGTATATTTTTCAGGGATTTGGTGCAGAAAGCTTTGAAAGAAGGCAGACTCCAATTTGGCGAAAAGCTAAAAATGTAGGTTGATGAAGACCCATTGAAGGTTGAACAGGCTTTATATGTAGAGCCTCTGGATTGTATGATGGTTGAAGCTACTGAAGGCTTCGACACGAAAGTCATGATGATTGATACTACTAAAGATGTAAACGTGAAGATGGAGAATGAGTTGCAGGCAATATATCCTCAACCAGAGGAGAGCTTGGCTGATTTTTAAGAAAAATACAGAGTGAAAGGATCGAAGGCTAATCTATGCCCAAGATGCAACACTGTGTATGATTAAGAGGAAGCTAAGAGATATGAAGCTGCCAAGAAAGAGGCTCTCAAGAAAGAGAAGCCTCAAGTTCCAAGGTTGGTTTTTGACAAAGATGGTACCCCTTGATGCAGTTAGGAGTATCGAAAGCAGTTCCAACAATCCGCCAAAGAACTTTTTGTCCTTCGTCGTACATCCCACGGGAAAAATGGTTGGAGACAGTAAACCAGAAGGGGGGAAAAAGGCCAAAGTGGAAGGTGATCATTCATGAAGCTGAGGCTAAGGAGAAAAATGTGGAGTCGAAGGGATATCAAGTTTCTCCTAATTATAAGGGGAAAAAATCTGATGACAAGGACTCAGTGGAGGCCGTCATCAGAGGAATAAGAAATTTTCTAGAGAGGCTTCAACATCCCAGTTGAAACCTGTCGAAGTTATCAGGAAAGTCGAAGGCATGAAACCAGCAGCGGTTGTGAAACCTGGTGAAGCTGCAGTTCAGAAAAGGCTCTATCCCCAGTCAAGGTTGTCTGAAAAAGAAAAAATCACATCTAATCAAAGGTTAGCTATTAGGGTAGCTTTTTTAGGAAACCAATAGTTGGTGAAAACACAAAATGTTAGATATACTCCTACACCTGAGTGTACTCCAACATCTGAACGTGAAAAGGAAGAAGAACCTGATTATGAACCTTCACCAGAAGATGATATGGTGGATGAAGATTATGGTGAAGATTTCATCATCAACTGTGGAATTGTATCAATCTTACCTGGTGAGTTCGATAGAGTGTAAGGAG